GCATCATCACGGCTGGAAGTGTACAAAGGAAGGGGGTCATGTCTCCTGATGGCGACCGCGTCACACAGCCACTCCACAGGGATCTCTCGTGATAATCCCTGTTTTTTGTGTCCACGACGGAGGACATTTAAATGCCTTCGAATACCAAATCCAACAGTATGTTCACAATAATAAGCTGATTAATAACTGCATAAGCATATTTATAGTGGAAATGAATAAATCCTGTATATTGCTCCTCTTTGGAACCGGATATTTGGGAAAACTGGATCAGAAAACAGGATTTGGGGATTTTAAAATAACGTAATTTGTTTCATGTATAACAAAGTCAGCGCGGACAATAAGTAAATAGTCAGATAATTAGAGCATTTTCCCATGAATTTACATGGGACTATGTGTAGTAATATAGACATCAGAAATACTGATGCATCATTGTAGCTGAAGGATCACCAGCTTCCACTGCATATGGATTCAAACATAATCAGTGGCTTCTCCACTGATCAGATCAGGAAAATGTTGGATTCAACTCAGTTATCAGTCGCCATCTGCTGGACGATTTTCATTCATGGGAGAAAAAAAAGGGATTTTGTAAAACTAGGAGGCGCTGAGGAGCCACCATCACCACCCCAAAGGAAATGTAGTTGGCAGTTCATTTGTGAAGATATAAAATGTAGTACCCCTTAGGGATTTGATCACTGAATTCAACATGATTAATTCGACCATAAACAACACCTCCGCAAGTGTTGATCATGCTAAATTGCAGTTATTCTACAACTTACATGTTTACATGACTGAATGGATTGGAAAGGATTGGATTCACATTCCCGCGACCCTGTGTGCAGGATAAGCGGTTTGACAATGGATGGATGGATGGATTCACATTCTCAATTTGGGTTTTGTTTCCAAACATTCTATTAGGCCACGGCCATTCGCATCTTTCATCAGTATACAAGTTCTACAGGACGGACACACACGCACACTTATGGCGAGTAGCGACCATAAAAACGGTCCCAAGGACGACGTTGATGGTTTCCAAAAAGGTCTAATGGAAGTGCTCACTATGGCCGCGGAGAAGATTGTTGTGCTGACAGAGGTGATCGAACTAGAGGACTTAGAGAAAAAATCCAACCTCCAAATATCGACTTTAAGGGACGCGATCAGAGAAGGTGTGGAAATAATCGTTCATCTGCAGGAAGTTGAAGCTGACCAAAAGAACCAGATCACCCAGCTCTGCAAGGAGAAGGAAGCACGGCAGGAAGAAAGAAAACTCCTTGAGGACCAAGAGGTACGGGAAGAAGGGTCTTTAGCTGCTGCTTCCCCCTATATGTCCTCTTCCTGTCTGCCTCCCGTAAGCCTTCAAGACAAGGAGATGAACAGCGCTCGGCAGACCACGACCAAGACCTCCATAAGGTGAATAGATATCAAGCGGCAGATATTCAGAAGCTCTCTGAAGAAAAGCTTATATTTAGTAGGAAGTCACGTTTACTGGAGTCCGCCATCGTCGACCTCGAGAAGTGCCTCTTGGAGAGCAGAAGTCTCCTCACAAACACAACTGAACTCACCCAGAACCAGAACTGTAAGAGAGACAATACGACCCTGAGGGGAGAGAACGAGATTCTGAAGGAAGAAAGCAAGATTCTGGAGAAAACCTGTGCAGTGCAGATGAAAAGTGACCGACTGGAGGATCAGCAAATCGTGGAGGACGTCTGCCTCCAGTTGAAGAAAATTACCTTTTCTTCCTCCCCCAAAGATCTTCTATCCACCCCCATACATCTTATAGAAACTCCCCACCTAAAAAAATGCACCCCTACCCCGCAGGTTTCTTTCTCTCCACCTCCCCAAACTCTCCCAATGGGATTTAACGAAAGTGCAACGTGTAAGCACTCCATGGTGACCATCACTGGTCGGGATGAGTCACGGCCTTCTGTAAATGCATGGTGTGTTTTTGGATGATAGCAAAGAGCCTCAGGTGCGAGAAGACCCCACAGGCCACGAAACCAGTATACAGGATTAAGCCGGGATATTAGTTGTCCTGGATGAATTTAGCGTTGACTTTGTTGCTTGACAGCAGGTTGAATTAAAGCCAGATTGCAGGGAACATGAATTATAGATCACAAAATAGCATTACATTAGAACTGTGACCAGATAACCAGACATCGGCAGATTTGTCACATCTGAATTTAAAAAAAAAACTCAGAGGTCCCATGAGTGAGATAATGTCAACAGAAAATCCTTACTGTGGAAAGATACTGTCAGCATCAACGTTCAGGTAAAAATGGACACTGTCTACTATCCAAAATCGTTACATACCATTGGCAAACTTACCAGTCTGCAAACCGTTTTAGGATTTTATCTTCGCCCCAGCAATGTTTGTGCTGCATGAAGATTAATTGTAGATATTTAGACGGCTTATTGTGAATAAGGGTTGGAAAGTAGGCCTAGTCTTTGGGGTAAATTTCTCAATCAGTAAATCTGATAACTACGGTAGTCTAGTAAAGAAAGGCATGAAGGCGCACTTCTCCCAACTACGTACACTTGGATTGACACAGCTCCAACTCCGCCTGGTTCACAACACGTGGAAAGGATTAACCAAAAAAGCAGCACCGTTTCAGTTATCCTGGACTTGTGCAATAGGCCCTGATATGTGTGCACGTGTTATTGGTGCTTAAGAAAAAAAAAAAACTACATTTAAACAAGATTTTTTTATTTTATTCGACAGTGGGACAAGTCGGCCAACAGCAGCCTTCCTGATCAGTCACACCTAAAACTTCTGGAACTGCTTCTTGGCTCCAGCCGCCTTTGTCACTTTGAGGACGTTGAACCTCACCGTCTTGCTGAGTGGTCGGCACTCCCCAACAGTGACGTTGTCTCCAACAGAGACGTCTCTGCAGGAAAACAATAGATACATCAGGTGGTTGTGTATATTTAAGTGAATCCAATAAATCGTCAGCAGTTTTATGTTGTAAACCGAAGCCGCATCAGTATTTGCCAAAGGCACTATCGTCAGAGCTTAAGCTAGGAAGACCATCGTGAGAAAAACATCATTTGCAGCAAGTAATTAAACCTCATTTTTTAAGGGCTTGAGACATCTGGAAACTACCATTGAACCGTTCTATGGGACTTTAGTTATTAAAAGCATGTGAGCAGTGTTGTACCTGAAGCAAGGGGACAGGTGGACAGAGATGTTCTTGTGCCTCTTCTCAAAGCGGTTGTACTTGCGGATGTAATGCAGGTAGTCGCGTCTGATAACGATGGTCCTCTGCATCTTCATTTTGGTCACCACACCTGTAGATCACATGCAGAATTTAAATACAACTGTCAAAGCGCTTCCCCTCGATTGCGGTGAACACTTTGGGTTGAATAGAATAGTCACGCCAATACATCAGTGTTGCCGTTAGGCATTGTCGTCAGCACCCAGAGGGCTTGGAAGACCATCGTGAGAAAAACATCATTTGTAGGACAGTGACAAGAAGGAAATTCAATGTAGTAAGTTACCATGTAAAGACTGGTTCTGGCTTGGGTTGCTTCACCTGCACAGGGATATTTTCATTCGTAGTCAGAAAAATGGCTAGCCGTGCGCTCAACAGTTAAAATTGAGACGTAAACACACAGTATCATGGTGGACAATATAACAAATGTAACCCATTTTCATTTAAGTCTTGTGCAAAGCCAACATCTTAAGTAGACAATGTCTTGTCGGTTATCTGAATAGTGTGTTCCTTTTGCAGTTCTTAGAGTGTAAGGAGCTTTGTGTGGTGTTATAATATGCAGCATCCCAAGCCAGCGTCAGTGGGCGAGTGTTAAAGCCTACTGAGAAGTGTTCAACTCACCAGAGAGGATACGGCCACGAATTGAGACATTTCCAGTGAAGGGGCATTTCTTGTCTATGTAAGTGCCTTCAATAGCCTGGTGAGAGCACACAGAATTAATAATGTTAGTTACAGGCATTTCTACTCACTCCAATTTGTCCCTTAAGGCTTATGACTGCATCAGCATTGCCAAAAGGCACTATCGTCAGAACCCTGAAGGCTTGGAAGACCATCGTGAGAAAGAAATCATTTGCAGCTAACAAAACCTTACCGGTTAAGAATGTGATAAATAATGATGTACCTCTCTTGGGGTTTTGAAGCCCAGCCCCACACTTTTGTGGTAGCGGGGGAGCTTTTCCTTGGCCTCCTTGGCACCATCTCCGACCAGAACACGCTTCTTGTTCTGGAAGATGGTGGGCTGTTTCTGATAAGCCCTTTCGGTCTGTGAAAAAATAAAATAAAAAAAAAGGTAAAAACCACTGAATGCAGGAAACACCGTAACTTTACAATGTACGCGTCCATGCACTGGCAGGGCACATCCACTGAACTCCGCCCGGCCTCGCAAACATTGACTTCCTGTAATTAAGACTAGATTGGACTAGAATCACCAGTAGCTGAAACACCACTGATTAATAAGAGGGAAATGAGAATAATAAGTTTAAGTGCATTGTTAACGTATGCAGAACAAGGCAATGTTCTTTTCAGAGTTTACGTTAAGCATGAGCAAGCTAGGCTAGAGAGGTTAGCATCCCGGCTAGTTTAACGTTACACGAGGGTATGCAGTACCGCTACAGCAAATACGAGCTACGAAACCATCTCTGGGGTTGGAATCGGCTCGTGACTGTGTATGAAGACAGCGTAAATGCACATACTTAATAACTTCCTCTAAAAGCCCCAATTTAAATGTAAAAAATATCGAATGAAATTCACCACGCCGTTTTCCCGAACGTACTTGTGCATCCGCCATCTTTGCTGCCGAGTCGTAAAGAGGCCTGTGGGTGCGCGCGGCGGGCGGAAGACCGAAAGTCACAGGAAATGACGTTTATAAGGTGGGCGAGGCTCAGAAATGCATACACCTTTTTTTTGTTATGATTAACTCATTTTACGGACGAATAACAGATACATTGTGTGAAAGACGTTTTTAAATTCTTCATTAATAATATGAGTTCGAAATCCGAATAGAATACATTTATGAAGCGCCTCACCTCTATGACGTCATCGTTTCACATCGGCCCATCGGAAAAAAATTGTTACCGAAAGTAGAATTTTCGTCACATGATTACGCGGAAGCGCACATCGAGCGATCTAAACAGCCAAGATGGCATCGCACCCCGGAGGAGGCGATCAAGGTACCAGCTATATTCTTGTAATTAAATCGACTTTGACAGCGTCGCCGGTGGTGCGGTAAACATCGATACTCTCGCGCTCGAACAAGTGCCTCTTGTTTATGCGCCTGTGGCTCCTCCGCTTGCTTGCAGCAACATTAGCTGAACTGAGGCTAGCAAGAAAGCTAACCTAACTAAACGTTAGCCGTTGGTGGGCGCTCGATTAGCTTGAACGTCAGGCGGTTAGCTTGGTTAGCCGATAGCTGTACAAGAATGAGTTGGCAAATACGTGTGAACAAAACGAAACTACCAAAAATACCAAACATACCACCAGACCACCGTAATGTCGTTTCACTCCGTCAAAGTCCCTCGCCTTATAGACGTCAAATATCTTGAAGCTACAACATTGACTTAACATCGACAAAATTGACTTAAAGTTATCCGAGTTAAATATAACTAACGTTACCCGGCTGTGGACGTTTTGTAAATGTCTCTCACACGGTTACAGCAGATATAAAGAGAAAAGCAGAGGGTTCACATGGTTATCGACACGTATTCAACAAATTATAAAGTTGTTTTTATCCGTCTTTAAAGTGTGGGAAACGTAGGTGACCGCCCTGTAAAGTGTGCCATCTTATTCAGATTGAAGTGACGGTAAACAACGCATGAGTCCGTTACAGCGGCACGCATTCCTCCATTATTATTCCCCAATTGTTCTATCATTCATTCCAGATTTGAAATAAGTTAACTTAACGTTAGGCGATCGTATAACGGTGTCGGTATTTGGATGATTTAACACCGACCTTTTTGTCTCTCAGGCAATAACAAAGACCAGATCCTGGAACTAGGAACTGTTTTGCTGAAGGAGTGAGTAAAGTAAACTGGCTGCTGGGCTTCTGCTCACTGAAAGAAGGCGGCTCATAACTTCACTTTATTACCATCTGTTTGTGTCTCCCGGTGCAGTTTCATCTTCGAGCGGGTTAAGCGGCATGGAGACAGCACCGAGACTGTGACCAGGACGCAGCTGGGTGGAGTGGAGCTGAGCGACCCGAACCACAAGAAGCTGGCCATGTGCCTGCAGCAGATCGGAGACGAGTTGGACGGAAACGTAGAGCTTCAAAGGTGAGCTGCTCCGTCCGATTTCATGTGTTTTACTAGTATAAGCAGCCTGTGTTCGATCACTAAAATGTTGTTTTCCTCAGAATGATGAACGACTCTTCGCTCGGTCCCACAAAAGATGTGTTTTTGAAAGTTGCCTTCGAGATCTTTTCGGATGGAAAATTCAACTGGGGCCGGGTGGTCGCACTGTTCTACTTTGCCTGTCGACTCGTCATCAAAGTGAGTTCGCCCGCTCCGCTGCATGCTCGCCTCATAATCAAAGCAAAGCTTCGACATGCCCGTGTTAAGGAATTCTGATTGTATCACAAAGACCTGACCAACGTCTGAAGCATCTCCTTTTCACGCCTTCTCAGGCTCTTGTGACCAAAGTTCCTGACATAATCCGAACGATAATCAGCTGGACCATGGACTACCTCCGCGAACATGTGATCAACTGGATCAGGGAGCAAGGTGGCTGGGTAAGAAGCAACTATCAAACCTATGAGTACATAACCTCCCCGATTGCTCCCTTTGCACATGCTAATATCAGTGTCTGTTGTTGATCCTTTTTAGGAGGGCATTCGCTCCCACCTCGGCACACCCACATGGCAGACGGTGGGAGTTTTCTTGGCCGGGGTCCTCACTACCGTTTTAGTCATTCGCAAGATGTGAGGAATTTGGGATGAGCAGACATGTGAATGATTGGGAAGAGGTACGACCTGAAGTTTATGGGGACATGATCAAGTACATCCGAACGGGAGCAGGAAGAAGTAATGGCAGAGTGAGCGAGTCTTACAGAAAGAGCTTGTACACTTTCTTTCTTGCCTCCCTCTTATTTGCAAGCACTGGGCGTGAGACTGAACGCATTGTCGCACCCGTAATCCCTACACCACGAGGATGTTGGCGGAGCATCATTATGGGCACAAGGAGGGTGTGGGGGGGGGGGGGGGGGGGAGATTTTAATGCCTTTAACATGGAAACGATATTTATTTTATTATTTTTTACCCGGGTTGGACAAAAAAAAAAGATCAAGCGTTCTGGTATCTGGCCCGGATGGGCCGAAAATTTTCCTTTATTGCATTATTCCATCTTTGTTCCACTCCAATTTCTTTCCGATCTCCCCACATGCTCCATCCACCTCCATCCGGGTGCTAAAGAATCCATTTTCATAGGTATTTTTGAGTGTTAACCGGTGTAATCTGTAACGATCTGCTGCCAATGTCGGAGGGCGGTCACATCTCGTTGAGTTAAGAAGAAATCCTTTTGGACAAAGCAGGACGACTGTGTCGACAGAGACTGATGTCATCAATGTAATATTTGAGCCCAAATCAATTCTCCCCCTGATTGCACAGCTCAACCTTATGTTCAGTGGATAACTTAAGTGCCACAACAGGGATTTCTGTAATAAGTTATGTTTACATCCAAGCAGAATCATCACAGTCACAGTCAAGCTCAGCAACATCCTGTGCATCATTTAATCATATGCTCCTTCCGGGCACTTCGACCAGCATTGTGACATTAATGCAGCTCCTACGTTAAAAAGAGCAACCTGCCTGTTGTTGCTTGTGGTTGGAGCGCTGCCGCATCTCGTCACGTTTCCTGTTGTCTGAGGAGAAGTAGAGCAGACACAGGCGGCACCGATGCTTACCTCACGTCACCAGATCCAAAGTACTGTAGGTTTACTGGCGATACTCAAACTGCAATCGACACACCTTTTTATACATTCTTCTTGTTCGTCAGTGCCTTGGTGTTTTTTGTTCTTCCTTTTTTTTTAACTATGAAATCACTTTGATATTCTCAGATTTTCACCCGTTTTCTATCACATTTGTAAAGCTGGAATTGTTTTCCAGTCCCCCGGAAAGTCTTTTTGCTGTGATCTCGTCTGTTGTAATATGAAAAATAAATCTTTTAATGCCGGTGTAGTGATGTGTAATTGGTGGAGGGATGAGGTTATTGCCTTGGCAATCACTGAATAAATACATGTTCATTACACAAACTGCATATCAACATGTCAGCAGGCTAATGTTAGCATTGAGCTTAATAAACAGCTCTGGAGGTATTGAATGATTTGATAAAATATGTACATTTGGTGATCAGCAAAGGAAGTGAAGTTAATAAAATAGCCTGATGGATGTTTTTTGTAAGCATCTAAAGATGACAGGATTCATAATGAGTATTAATATGCTTAGTAAATGTAATGTTTATATTTTGATATTGCTTGTTCATGAGAGAGAAATGTGGCCTCAGCAAAGGTCAGAGGGAGATTCAACCTCAAGGGGTCAAGAATGTCCCCTCAAATGTCACGTAAACCCAGGCCGCCTCCACCGTTAAATTGTGGTTCAGGGGATTTCTGTTCTTACAGTAAAGGAAAGGTCAGAAGGTCATCATATATGTCGAATATAGTGTACAAAATGTAATGACAAACTGACCAATAGTTGTCATCTTACCTGCTCAGATTGTATTTATAACCGAAAAACTGCGTCACACACGATTCATGGAAGACAAAGTGAACCCCAAATGAAGACTGCAGAAGTGTTCATAGTCACAGAGTTAACCAATGAATACTGCATTGTATCAATTATGTGTCACACAGTTGGTAGTTTTTAATGCTCTTTATTGAACACATAATAAAAAAGGGCGTCATAATGAGACGTGCATGATTTTATTTTTGGCCCGTTTGGAAGCACAGGCCACGTGAGACGAGGTCAAGGCGGCTGTTTGGAACCCTTCTACAGAGGGCGGCGTGTAGGACAGAGGGAGCCGCGGGCCTCTTATCTGGTCTCCAGCACCCCGTCTCGGATCCTCCACCTCCAGGTGGAGCTGAAGTCTGGAGCCGGAACACAGCTGAGCTCCAGACCGGACTCCTGCACCTCCTCGTCGTGAGCCACTCGCTTGCCCCGCGGGGTTTCCAGGGTGAAAACCCTCTCGGTGATCTTAAAAAAAAAAAAAGGGAGCACACGTGAGCCTTGATCTGGCTTCTTTTTCCCCCCCCGTAAACCCGTCAGAAGCAGGCGTGAGTGCGTGAGTCGGGTGTTCGCTCCTCACCTGATCGCTGATGCCGGTGGCGATGTGGCCCACCTTCACCCGCCGCGTCTCCCTGATGCGGATGCTCCTCCTGTTGAAGTCTCGGATGCAGACGTCCACCCCTGAGCCAATCACAGAGCGGAGGAGGTGCCCGTGTTACGACTCGCTGCGCCGCTGAATCAGGTTTTTAAATAAGAGAGACTGACGTTCATGTTCGATCTCACCTTCAAAACAGCAGGCCGGCGGTTGCTGGGAGTGACTCAGCAGGTCCACGCTGAAGGCCTGCGCCTCCGGCTGACTGCTGAAGGAGAAGACACCGGAGCTCAGGTCGTCTCCTGGACTCAGAGACCAGCGGCCAGAGTCCTAGAAAAATGTGAGGGGGGGGGGGCGAACAGTGGGTGTGTTAATACATCAGCTAACGTGGATAAACAACAAAGAAGCTCCTTCTGTAAATGGACACAAATTTGAGTCAAATTAAGTCATGAGACTATTCTGGGATGACAGCGGCGTCCTCGATATAAACTGTCACCGTCTCAAAAGCTTTAAAACTGGGACGCATGACTGCTAACTCGGATTGTCACCCCCCCTCCCACAGTCAGAGGTGGATCACAGACGTCGTCTGATAACCGGACGCAGGGTCACCTTCTTGTCCCAGGGCTCCCAGGTGGAGTACGGGTCGCTGCTGAGACACGACAGCAGCTGCTCCTGCATCTCAGCCGGGTGGAGCTGGGACAGACTGCTCAGGTAGAAATCTGAAAAACGAGCGGGGACGGAGATATGAGTGGGGATCCGAGATTTAACACAGGGAAGACGGCACCGCCCTGAGGAGGGACGGAGTGGAGGGGGGGGATCTTACCTCTCTCCAGTTTGCGCAGCTCGAGTTCGGGCACGGTGGTGACCTTGTGACCCCTCTTGTAGTTCGGCTCAGAGATCAACGTCTGTGGACAGGAGAGCGAGTCTCGCTTGGGCTCCTCCCCCGCCTCCTCCGTCCTGTTGACCGCGCTGACCGCGTCCTCAGCGGCTTCCCGGTGCTCCACCTCGTCCCTCCCGCTGCCGTCGAGAACTTGCAGGGAGTCCGGAGGTTTGTTGGAAACGAATAGGGGCTCCGTGTAGGGTCCCCTCACCGCACTGGTGAGTCCTCCCACTGCACAAATAAGCTTTCACTTTACATTACATTCATATTACCTACAAAGGAAAATGATGCTACAATATACGGCATTATTTTGATCTCTTTGCACAATAACCAAAGACACAGTTAGTTGTGCGTCATGTGTGTACGGTTACCTTCTTTCAGCGCTCTGGCGGTCTGTTCCTTGAGGTGGGAGGCCGATGCTCTCTTGGCCGGATCCTTCTGAAGTCCCGCCCTGATAACCTCCGCTGTGAGGGGGCTGCAGTCTGGCGGGATCTCCCGCAGCGGCGGCGGATCGTTGGCAATCTGTGACCATGGCAAAGACGGACCCGGTCAAAGCGGGGGGGAGGGGGCGACGAGGCGAGGCGGGTGTGATGTCTGTGTGTCTCTGCGGGGCGTACCTTCAGGTAGAGTCTGCAGGTGTAGTACCTGGTCCACGGCTGGCACGCGTTGAGCATGTGCAGTAGCATACAGCAGCTGCTCCACACATCTGCCTTGGCTCCGCGGTGTTCCCCTTTCACCACCTCGGGGGCCATGTGGGTCTCTGTGCCCTTCAGGTCTGCGTACAATTCAAAACAGTGCGATTAAGACCCACAACGCGGAGGCAGTTCACCGTCCCAACGGGAGGTGGGGGGCGCGGTGGAGTCACACGGCATTCACCTTTGGACCCGCTGAGGCTGCGTCCCTGATTGTCGAGTCTCTCCGCGTGTCCAAAGTCGCAGAGGAAAGAGTCCCTCCCGTCCTCCGACAGCAACACGTTGTCCGCTATGGGAGACGAGCAGAGTCAACAATCCGCTTGTATGCGTTGTTTAGGTTGTGTTTGTATATACTTTGTATATATGCTTGTATTGTGTAGTTGTTCAATGTCACATCTATTTTTTTCTCTTCCATTTGTAAAACCCTTTTGTATGCACGTGGAGAAGTGGAATCACAATCGGCTTCATTGTCCACGCATACGTACATACATTGCCAATACAGCTCATTGCGCTGTGTGGTTTATGGGAGTCATAATTAGAAACAGGGCAGCTGCAGACGCGTTCTACAGCTAAGAGAGCAGGATTAGGCGGGAGGTATGACGTCATCGAGGGACAGCTGCTGCAGAAAAGCCTCTGCTGAGAAATGACGGTGCGGTTCAACTGGCAGACACCAGGGGCGGCTTGAGCTGCAGCCACCACTCCCCAACTTTTTCTTCCGCGTTCTGTTTCTATTCTCTTTCGCGCCCCCCCCCCCTCCTCTCCCCCTCCTCCCCCGCTTCTGTGCGCATGCGCCGCCTGTGAAGATCAGCGGTGAGTCACACTGTGGGAAATTCCCACTGTGGCAGTCTGGTTTCACAACACAGGTGGCGAGGATCAAGTCTACTGCGTCCATGACGCTTGTGTTCCACACAACAGCTGCACGGAGACACCAGAACCTCAGAGGAGAATCAATTCTCGCACTACGGTCATAAACAATTACATTAAATGAAATGCATCCTAACTCATTTTTCTTAAAACATTTGTGCTACTTATTATTAATATATCAGAAAACAGTCTATAATGTGATATATATATATATATATATATATATATATATATATATATATATATATGTGTGTGTGTGTGTTGTTATTGAGACATGAAATGACCTCTATTGGATCTGACAAAGACACCAAGCCCTCCTCTCGTGATTGGTCGGGCGGCTTCTCATGTCACCGCACCGGGTGGCTTCTCTCCAAAAGGTCACTCAGTTTGAACTTTTTCAACAGTGTTTTACACGCTACCCACGTTCAGATGAAGGGTTGTTGATAAGGTGTGAATGCAAAACCCCCCCTTTCTTTATGTCTTTAAACAACTACGAGGATTGTACAGTCATTTCTATAGTATAACCATTTGTAAAGATTTCATCATATTATCCCCATTATTCATCACGCTGTCATACCTTTGACGTCGAGATGCACCACTTTCTTCTTCCGTAGGTACTCCAGGGCCGTCAGGGTTTGCGAGTGGTAGTGGAGACTCAGGTCCTCGGGCAGCCGGCCCCGCTGCGCTATCAGCCGGCCCAGCGAGCCTAGAATAACAGAAAAGGTCAAACCGGGACATCCTGTTAATATCAACTTCCTCGCATCGTTTCTGCTTCTGTCACCGGCCGCAGTCCGCTGACCAACAAAAGTGTGTCACTGTGTTTATCAAGCGGGCATCTCTCAACAGTCATTTCTGGCCTCCCAGAACCGCCCACTCGCACACACACTTCTCATGTCTTCGCACTCCATCCGTCACATGTGGAACAGCAGCAGAATAAGACGTGTGCAAAAAAAAAAAAAGGGGGAGGGGCTTGCTCACCATATTTGTGGTCCATGATGAGGAGAACGTTCGGCCCCTCGCGGACCACTCCGAAGAGTTCCACCACGCGAGGAGATCTGAGGGCGCTCCACGCACCCACCTCCTCACTGCTGAACCTCTTCAGGGCGATCTGTGATGGGGGGGGACACGGAGTGAGAGCGTGAGCATTGGCTTAAGACGGCGTCACCCAAAAGACCCAAAATCAGAGCCGGGAGGCTCCGCGGTACCTTTTTGACGGCAAATTTGAAGCCCGTGTTGACGTCTTGAGCGCTGTGCACTTCCCCGTAGGACCCCCCCTTGATGAACTGCGTGAGGACATACTCCCTCCCTTCCTTGTATTCAGAGTCCACGGGCTGGATGTTCTGACAGGGGGTGACGGGAGGAAACAAGTTAGTTTGTCTGAGGCGCATTTCAACCGGAGCGGACGGACGCGCGGCGGGACGTACTTGGTTGTAGAAGATGATTCCCTCGGTGCTGTCGGAGTCCCCCGCTGAGCGGCCCCCTCCCTCTTCTCTGGCCTCCCTCTCCACATCCTTGAAGAAGGGCCCGGCGTAGCAGGGGTCCCCCTGGCTGACGCTGCCCCGGAGGCCGGCGAGGGCCAGCGAGCAGTCTCCCAGCGGCCCGCCGAGGGAGTCCGAGTCGCTGTCCCGCCCATAGGCGTCGAGTGCGCCGAGGGCCCCGCACGCCGGCTCCCCCCACCCGAGAGGGGAGCAGCTGGAGCCGGTGTGGTAGATCTGTCGGCCGAAGGGAGCCGGCCCTCGCTCCTGCTCCTCGGAGCTTTTAATGCCGCCGCAGCAAGACGCGGCGAGGTCGCCTCCGCCTGCGAGTGGCGACTCATCCTGCGGGACACAAGCAAAAGGCACAACGTTCACAGCGCTGAGGGGGGGGGGAGCGAGCCTCCGAACCGCCAAATAACGAGGAAGAATCACCGGAGTTCTCACCAGGGTCCGGACAAGGGAGCTGCCGCTTTCCTGCTCGGGGACTCCGGAGCGCAGCCGGTGCCGGTGTCGGTGCCGCTGCCTCTCCTTCTTCTTCTTCTCCACTTTTTTCTTGCCGGCGCCCTTCTGCCTCCTCCGGGTCTTCCTCCTCGGGGCGAGCTGGGCCGGCGAGCCGCCCGGCTCCCGGGCGCGGGCTGTGATCGGGCACGCCACGTTGTTGTGCTCTGAGGAAAGACTGAAGCGTGGCAACGACGTCAACGCTTGGCGTTAAAAGAATGTGGTACGACCGGTGGTGGGAGCACACGAGTGGGGGGGGGGGAATGAGACGGAACGATGTCAAACCTGCTGCTGAAGCAGTTCGGGGAGGGAACGAAGGAGCGCTCAAAGCAGGAAGGACTGAACTCTTGGGAGTCCTGGGTTTCACCTGAGGAGAGCACAGCGTGTTACACACACACACACGTGTTTCATTTACTGTGAGAAATGGAAGTGAGGAGCACATGTTTACATTCAGCCTGGGCGATGAAGGTCGAGGTCTTCAGCGGCCTTTCTCCCACTTGCTCGGCCGTGCCATGTGTCAGGAGTTTGTTTATCAGCGGGCTGAGGCCGGCCATGAAGCCCACTTTGCTGTCCTTCCCACCACCACCACCACCACCCTCCTCCTCCTCCTCCTCCTCCGCCGCCCCCTGGTCCGCCGCCGAGCAGGATGGGTAAGACCCCTTCAGCTCAGCCTGGGATGACCCGGAGAAGGGCGCCGTGGAGTTGAAAATCCTTTGCCTCACCGCCATTTCAGCTGCTGGATCTGTAGAGAAGAGAGACAGAGAACACGGCAGGAACCGATAAGTCGAGTGTAAAAAACACAAAACACAAAAGATACAGTTGACTATCACAAAGTAAACAATCAAAATAAATGTCCACATTTGGGACGCTGCGACCGGCAAAACTGTCCCAACTGAGCTCTGAATATTTAGTTTGCTCAACTCAAATGACCCCGCATGATAAGATGTTTCCCACTCGTCATCAGGCGAACACACAAAGGAGCGGCAGCAGCCTTTATATCGCGGTTAAGTAGATTGTAACCAGCTTCTTGGTAGGCGGCTTGGAAGTCGGACCGGTTCCACTGCGACGGGGACGCGGCGCCGATCACTTTGAACCGAAACCTTTGCGGTGGCTCAGATGCGACAGGAAGCTCGGGCCCGGCCTTGTTTTGACAGTTGCAACTGTCGTTAACTGAAGTGCTCCGTTACACTCAGAGGAAGTCGCCTGCAGTGCATCGGGCGCAGCTAAATTTACAGCGAGGATCTGCACGGTTGCCTTCAGGTGGGCCGCGAGTCACAGTCGTTGAAACGTGAAGGGGGGTGGTGGGGGTGGGGAGATCGGCGGACGCGCCCTTTCACCTCGGCGCCGGTGTCGTGCTGCTGCTTTAAGTGCAGTTTGAGAGGCTCAAGCTGGGGAAACGGTTGCATCAGAGGATCCTCCTCGACTCACTGCAGCTTCTGCTTTCCACTCGTTCGGCACACAAAAGCTGCCCTCTTGATACCTCAAACTGACACAAATCGGAAACATTCCCCCCTGTAAGTCCTGCGCATTTTTGCTCTCAACAACACAAACAGCAAGACAGATAAAAAACGAGATGCGGTCAGATCTCAGTGGGAGCTGTTGAGGAGCCATTACCTGGTGTGTGTGTGTGTGTGCGTGTGTGTGTGTGCGTGTGTGTCGACTTCACGCACTGCAAGCCTCTCTAGATAAAAGCAATTCGACTGTTGCTTCCGTTTCGGGCGCTGCCGGTGCTCAGAAAGCCCGGCGTAACACCACACCCCGAGGACTTTACGTGGAAAGGAAATAAGTGTGTGTGTATGTGTGTGTGTGTGTGTGTGTGTGTGTGAGAGGCACAGGGGCGTGCAGACGTACCAACAGATGTCTGAACTCTTCTCTCTCTAAATAAACCCGTCCTCTACATCAGTAAACTCGGTGCTGTGTTCGTCCTCCGCGTCCTGATTCTCAGTCACTTCTGCTCTGCTCAATGCCGGCTCTCAGCCAGCTAGAGGGGGGGGGGCGGGAGGGGGGCGGAGCTTACTGACGAGGACTTATGGGAAATGCATCTGCACTTCCCCTTGTCCCTCCCCTACCCTCTCCTCCCTCGCTCCCTTCAACAGGGCTTGCCCTTCCCTCCGGCTAGATTAGAGGATAACATGTGGTTGCGCTTTTGATGGACGGTTAAAAAAAAGCGAGAAAATAAAGACGGGGTGTGATCCAACGGGGCATTAAAGGTTAAATAAAAAGCAGGATAGGGAAAAACAAGGTTTTCAGAAGAGTGCCTGCACACACCGAGACACGACACGTCCTCTGATACGCGACAAACTTCTGATTTCTGAGAGTCGGAGCATCTCGTGGGAAGACGGTGATTTAGGAGCGAGAGCGCGCGTGTGAGCTGATCTTTCATCGCGCATGCGATATAATCTCACTTTCTTTTTCCCTCTTACTCACAAGCACTAGAATCAAGAATACGAGTCGAGAGGCTACGGGACCAAGACCACAAAGCCCTGCTGCCGTGGTGTGAAGGAAACCGCTGCCATGGCAACGGCCTCCTAGGACGGTTTCAACGACCGATTCCACACTTCTCTGGAAAAAGGAGTCACGTTGCAGACTTTTTTTAAGAAGCGGCGAACGAGGGCGACAAAAGCGTCTCGGCTGCCAAGTGTCATAAAGAGATACGGCCGATGAAACCGAGGCGACGAAGAGGAGAAGGTCCAGATGCTTTCAGTCGATTGACAGTCTTTTTTTCCACCGTTCGTCTGTATGTTTTTTATGACCTTCATGATTTCTTGTCTAGTCTCAAAAATATTAAACAAAACAACAACAAAAAGATAAAAGAACAAACGTGGCATTTGAAAAACTAGTACCAGCAAATGTTAGTCCAACAGGAAGTGCATCAAAACCGCACGCAAACAAGAGTTATACACATGTAGCTCACAAGTAAGTACACAACCATAAACCTTAACATTACTGCGGTACAATCAGATTGAATCCGCGCACAGCCGGTGGCTCTACCCGGGCGACTTCGGCTGCACACCCACACAGATTAATGAAATTCCAAAGCCTTTAGTAAGGACGGGGAAAAGGGTCTCAACCTGAAAACACACAGCCGAGCATTCCTTAAGGGAAACGCAGGCTTCTTCCCGCGGAGACGTCCCCGACCTGGACGACGCGTTCCCACAGCATTTAAGAAAACATGAAGTAATCAGTCACACCTGGCTCTCTTCTTACTTCCTCATTTCTTCCTTCCTTCATCTGTAACTGTGAAGAGGTGGTTGCCGTTAGAGTAATCTGAGACCTCTGCTCATCACGTTTATCATGTTATTAGATGAGAAGACGTAAGCCGCGGTGGGGTCGGCTTTGTGCACCTTTTGTGCGTTTTATATCAGTGCGAACGGGGGATTCTTTCTCTTCGAGCAAACGATGACGCACATTTCTCACTCTTTTCTGACGGATTATTAATAAACGATTTATCTAATTCATCTCGGCAGATGAATCAATAGTGAAAATAATCCCTAATTGTCAACATCCCCTCTAATATTTCTACTATTGTGGACGCTACAATTATGAGAGGGGCGATAGAGGAAGAACTTTAAATCTGGCATTCATTATAGTGTATGTTATGTTCCAACGTAGTTATGCGGTAATCTCCTCTATATTATGAATATTATATGATACATTAAATGAGGTGAATAGCTACTCTTATGTGAACTTCTAGGTACAGTTCGTAATAACACCTTTCTTCTGTTTACTCGGGTAGTCCTCATGTACAGCTGTGCATGCACTAGTTATAACATGCTTATAACATCCAACAACAGTCGGTATCACTGGAAAGAGCCCTGATGAAGGCCTGGTGAAGGCCTGGTGAAGGCCTGGTGAAGCCCTGGTAAAACCCTGGTGAAGCCCTATTGAAGCCATATTGAAGCCCTGGGTAAACACTGGTGAAGCCCTGGATAAGACCTGGTGAAGCCATGGTGAAGGCCTGGTGAAGCCCGTTATAAACCCTGGTGAAGCCCTGGATAAGACCTGGTGAAGCCATGGTGAAGGCCTGGTGAAGCCCGTTATAAACCCTGGTGAAGCCCCGGTGAAGGCCTGGTGAAGCCCTGGATAGACCTGGTGAAGCCCTAGTGAAGCCCGTATAATCCTGGTGAAGCCCGGTGAGCCTGTGAGTCCTGATAGACCTGGTGAGCCTAGTGAACCCCGTTATAAACCCTGGGAAGCCCCGGTGAAGCCCTAGTGGAAGCCCGTTATAAACCCTGGTGAAGCCCCGGTGAAGTCCTGGTGAAGGCCCTGGATAAACCCCGAATAAGCCCCGGATAAGCCCCGGTGAAGGCCTGGTGAAGCCCCGGTGAAGCCCTGGTGAAGCCCGGTATAAATCCTGTATAAGCCCCGGTGAAGCCGCGTAACGGCCGTTGTTTTAATCGTAGACATCTTGTAACGTGACCGGACATTAGAGCCGAAGTTACTGTTTACTGTACCGAGCTTTGTGCTGTTAACTGTCGTCACACATTAAATATTATAGTAAAAAGAGATCGAAATATCTTCAGTTAACTGTGTTGTTCTGCACGAGTTTCTCTCGTTCTCAGTTTACCAAAAAAAAAAGACTTCCGCCATTTCACATAAAAGTTAGATCACCTTTGTCATTGGAGAAAAGGCCGCGACTAAACAAACGACGTGTTTTCGTCTAGAAAGACATAAGAACGGGTATTTCATCGGCGAAACGGTTTGATTTAACGATATGTGTAGTAGATGTTGCACTTACCGATCCTCCAATTAGTAGGCGTCGGCCGAGAGCGATCAGATCACCGTTTAGCTTAAATATCGGTTTCCGGTTTGAATTTCAAAGTATTTCTAATATTCCTTCAATTTGACAATAGATATATTATAATGCTGTAATTGAGAATACATTTGTCACTATTGTTTTCATCTTTATTATGAATTGTTCACATTCGTGTTTTTTTGGTGCTTACTTCTTGGATATTTTGGAAATTACTGCTATGCTTTTAGTTTGAAGCTCAATTTTCCTAACTTCCTGTAAACGCCTCCCAATAAGAGGTGTAAAAACTGAAGTGACTTTTAAAAGTTTTTAAACCTCCACTCCTGTGATACATTAAACAAACTACCCATTTTAATCCCGTCCTAAATGTATCATTTTAATTAACGTTTTAGTACTTTATAAATGTGTGTCCAGTGTCCAGTGCAATGTGCCTTCGTTGTTTATTCTAATGTTGCTTGACGACCCTAAAGAGCCACTGCTGTAAATAAAATTGGGCACATACAAATGTGACTATCTGTACTGGCACCAATTCACCATAAGATGGAGCCATGCCCTCCTAACACAAGGCCATGCCTTATTATGGTCTATATTGACATGTAGCAGTCATGATATGTGGCCTAATTGTAAGTGTACTGTAATGAAATCCGATTATTGTGACCTTAGCTGTGATGTTAATATCCTTTGATTTGACGAAGGATATGACCAACATGTTATGGTGTAGAAAAGTGAAATGCAAAAGACATTTCCTTTTTGGTCTGCTTGAAACTATCACTATTTAGGCTATTACGTAGATATGAATGTATTACGAGGATATCTTTGTTTTGAAAAGTACAACATGTGAGTATGTGAAAGCATATGTTGCGATAATACAAGATTAAACTTGTACAACATGTGAGAAAAATCTTCAGTGGAATAACAAAGATGTAAAAACCTAGAATTGTTGACCCTTCGGACTTCACAGTGACCGCATCGGTTCTGTGAGGTGCACATCCTCATCCTCCTCATCCTCCTCCTCCTCCTCATCATCATCATCATCATCGGCTCAGCGCTCCTCAGTCGGACACAGACGGAGCGATAGAGAAGCTGCTGCTCTGTTCAGAAAATGGCCGACAGATTTTCTAGGTTTAACGAAGAGCGTGATTTCAAGGTAACGCACGTAAGACGACTTTGCGTATGTTGTTGTCGGTGTTTTAGCGCTCTTATTAACGCGGAAAAACCCCGTCTCGGACTGCTTCGCGTTACTTCAAACTGCACCGTGCGTCTCGGCGTTAGATGACACTTGCTAGCGCTGCAAGCTAGCTAAGCTAACGCCAGTGCACTGCGGCTCTTTTGCATTTAACTTCCCGTACGTCTCAGTATTTGGCTGTGCGCTATATTTGGTTCTTGTCGTGGCTTACGAGCCGCAACGTTACGTATACCAAGCAGCAGGAAAAAATAGATATACAGGTCCAACTAGCTTGTTTGTGACCTTGGGTAGTCTGGTTATTTATCGACATATGCTAACCATGGCTAGCTAGCTAGCTAACGTTAGCACGTAGCTTACAGGTACGCACATTAATAGCACTAGCAAGAAATGGCTGTATCATTTTGACAACTAGCTAGAACACAACGACTGCACCTTGTTAGCTCGGTTTAATTATTCTAGTTACAGCCAGCTTTATGTTTGTCTAGTATTTAAATGACGCAACTACACTTATTATATATTAAGTGGGAGACATAGCTATGAATGTCGGTTAACTTAACACGTCCGTCGCCATTAATTTGTTGAATTTTTCAAAACAAAAGGTCTGTCAATAACAACACAATGTCAACGGTTGCTAACGTTGCCAGACTGTTTTTCTCTCACTTTTTTGTTTGTTTCTCTAATGCGAGTCATTGAACTCTTCACTGGAGACAACGCAGGTTGTAACCAGGGGATCTTTTATTTTCCTAAGTTGACCTTTTATGTGGGTAAATAAATCCGTCCCTGCTGCACCGCTATTTGTTGTTAAGACGTTATTTCAGGTTAGTGTTTTTACAACCGTGGTGCCGGAGCTCAGACGCTGAACGTCACAAACCCAAATGTGGAGCTGCTTGTCTTCCACTGCCTGTTATCTCTGACCGCACCCCGACAAACACAACATCACTCATTACACAATCATAAGATGCACGTTTGTTGTTTGCGGCCTTGGTTCATTTCTCCATGCACATTCTGTTACTCTTCAGGTATTTTCCTCCAA